CCCCCCCCCCCCCCCCCCCCCCCCGATGTGGCCTCTTGTTTGGCTCGTGGCGTGACCGTGATGAAGAAATGTTTCTGGGCGCCTGGCAGGGTGCTCTTTCTATGTCATGAGTCAGGATTTTGCCAACGGAAGGAGTCCGCGCAGCGAGAACCGCGGGCCGCCGCTCTCCGGACCGGGAAGCCGCCAGGGATCCCCGCTCCGCCCCGGGGAGCCGCCGGGCACCGGCACGCGGTGAGTCTCGCCCGCAGCCCGCAGGTGGGGCCGCTCCGCGGCGCCGTGAGCCGCGCTCCGCCGTGGGGTGGGGCCGTTCCGCTCCGTTCCGCTCCACTCCGCTCCTCTCCGCGCGGGGCCGCGCAGCCCCGGCCGCCTCCGTCGCTCCCTCCCCGCCGGCGCCGCTTCCCGCAGCCTCGCGCCCACGTGCCGCAGGCCGCGGGACCGCCGTGCCAGGGGCCGCCGGAGGCCGCAGGGCGCTGCAGTGCGGTGCGGTGCCGAGGGGGCGCGGCCCCGCTGGAGCCACAGGTGTGCGCCCGGCGCGGGGCGGCCATCGCGGCGGGTCGCGGCCGTAGGGCGTGCGGGTGAGCTGCTGTCTGCGGCGGCGCTCAGACAAGCCCGGCGACGCAAGGAGAAACGAGTCCGTCCGTTGCCGTTGCTGCAGGCCCGCGTTTAACTGCACCGCGTAGTCGGAACGTCCGCAATCTACTTCGTGTTTTTCTTTCGAGATGCGTTTGCTGAGCACGCAGTCCGGCTGGCACAGCGTTCCTTGGCTCCGGATTTGGATTTCCAAAAGTAGCATAAATGTAGTAGTGGCTTTTCAAGCACCATAATTCGTTTCTTTAACGTATCTGACAGCATTTACCTACTTCGGCTGCTGACTGTAAACTATAATGCTTTTAAACTCGGTATTTATTTAGAATTACTGTAGGAATTATAAACGGAGGATTTAGAAAATACGTTCCCTTTGTGTGCAGAGCTCTCCTCATCCCTTAAAGAAGTTCTGGAGTAACGCAGTGCTGAGGGCAGTGCAGTGCAGACACAGCTGAGCAGCAGCTGAGCGGCCGCGCTCGGCTCGAGTGAACGCTGTGCAGGGCGGTACCTGTAAGCCAGCGGGAGTCACTGCTGACACCTCCTGCAACCGTTCCGCTTTAGTTTGTGATGCAAAAGAACAGATAAACACGCTGCTCCTTTGGAAAGATGTAAATAGATACTTTGGGTGCTGACTCTGCAAATCTGCTGCGCTGGGTGAGTTTAGTGTGACTTTATGGGCGCTTACAGAAGGTCCTGCTTAGCTAAACAAACAAGTCCTGACGTATGAATAAGACTGCATAGCATCTGTTAGCAACTCCAGAAAGCAGTGTGTGCGTTGTGACTTGGATACAAGTCTCATTTATCTGTTCACAAATTAGCGACTCATAAGCAGCAATTCTCTCAATTAATTGGGCAAGCTTACAAAGATACCTGACTGACAAATTGAATCTCAGAAGGCTGTGGTTCCAGAGTCGGGGTTTTGGGGGCGAGATGAGCTTATGTTTTATCCAACTGGCCCACAAAGTCCCGCTTTTGGTGGTCACTTTGTTCTGCAAAAGAAACCAATGTGTTCTGGTCTTACAGTGGACACTAAGCTTAGCGCTGAGCTGCTACTGCACACGTGAATACACAGCAGCATTGTAACTCACACATTCCAGCAGCAGCAGAGATCACCTCTGCTCTGCTGCTCATGGAGTTTTTCCTGAAGGCTCTTCAATCGAAGCACATCTTTTTGCACTATTTCAGTGAGGTGTGCTTCACATTTTGTTAAGCAAACAGCTAGATTTGATTTTTTTCAGATAGACTTTATCTCGTTCTCTACTGACAATAAAAGAAATGCGCATGTACTCATTCAAGTGCAGTTAACACAGTTATGAAGCGTGTATGACCGTGTAAGTGGCTACTGAATGCTCTGAAAGAACAGTGAGAGTTCTGTAGGCCTTTCTCACCCAAAATTGTTCATCACCTTCTTTCCCATCGCTATGCCTGCATAATGAGCTCCTGTTTCTCTCATGTACAGTAAAATGGACAGTTTCTACTGTGATGGATGGTGAGGGTGGCCCCAGCACCACTGCTCCTAGAGCGTCCTGCAGTGCCCAGCATCAGCACTGAGACAGCTGGGATCCGTTTGTTTGAAAAGCAAGAAGCAGTTTAGAGAAGATGAAAAGATGGCAGTATGTTTGGAATCAAAATCCATTTTTCTTGAGAAAGAAACTGTCACAAATTATTGAAAAGATAATATTTAGAAAGATCAACTCCAATTATTTATTGCATTCATCATCTGTAAAAAGTTGAAAGCCTTACTAGCTGTTTTCTAAGTAAAATAAATTAAAAACTCATTTTTAGAATGACTTTTCAGCATTGCTAAAAAGCAATAAAGCAATAAATTCAGCAAAGCTTTAAAAAACAGCTTATGTACAGTGAAGCAGCAGAGGGTTTTCCAGTGTCTTCTGTCTCTCCACTTCACAGAATCATAGAATCACAGAATCACAGGACTGTAGGGGTTGGAAGGGACCTGCAGAGATCATCGAGTCCAACCCCGTGCCAAAGCAGGAATGTTGGACACTGAGGTTGGTTACTGAAAGCAGTGAGATCAGAACCGGGTGGCATGGCTGGGGGATTGCTCTGTGCCCTGAGTTCTGAAGCAGGGCCTCAGCATCTGACATTCCCTGACCACATGTTACCACAGAAGAGTTTTGTGACTGCCCTCCAATACGGCCATTGGGAAGGAGAGGGTGGCGGTGGCCGGAGTTTGGCTCCAAGCCGTTCCTCAGTCCAGGCTGTGAGGTCAGTCATCCCCCCTACGAGGCTGTCTGGAGTTCGTCCAGGGCAGGAAGGGGGCAGCCGTGCTGTGATTGCTGGCCTGTGCCTTGCCCTTCCCTCGCCCTTCTAACTGTACGCATCAGCACTGCTCGCCTGCGCAAGGCCTGCTCCACGCACCGAAAGAGAATCTGTTCAGATGCGTCTCACAGAGGTATCATCACCTTTTTTTGTCATATCTGCTGGTTATGAAGGAAAAAAAGACCCAGTCACATTTTAAAAAATTAAACATTAGAGGAAAAACGTTGCTCTGATGAGGAAGCTGCACCTGTGGGGAAAGAAGTGGCATGAAAGCGGTTTTATTACGTGTATAAAGCCGCTTCAGAACATGCAGCTCGAGAGTACAGCATTCTGGTGAAATGGGGGACTTCAAGTGAGTTTAAGTCACTGCTTGCCCTGTTCTCAGTGCAAATTAGTTAATAATTCATTGCAGTGTAATATGCTTTTTTCCCCAAGAGATGCAAACATTTAGGGAATTTGGTAAAAGCACAGGCATGGCAAAAAGAACAAAGAATTGGCTTTCCTGCCTTTGCTGCAGTCCAGCAGCCGGGCTGCTCCTCGGTGGCCTCTGGGTGCACAGGTGGCCTCTGGTTGTGGATTTCTTTCAGGGCTTTTCTACAAGATGCACAAAGTAAATAAAGACAATAGGAACACAAATAAAAGCACATCTGTTACCGAGGTACTGCAGGATGTTCCAGGACTGGCCCACGAGGGTCAGTAATAGAATGTAGAATGTAGTGATTTTACAGCTGGGATATTTCTATCTGTTATCTATTGATTCTGTTGGAAACATCAGTCTGTAGAGTCATCAGAACCTCAGTTTTTACTTTGTTGTTGCTGCTGTCCATGTCGAAGTTTTCTTTTGTAACAAAAGGCCTTTCTGAAAGCAGGCAAGCAGCACGCAGCCCTGGCAGCAGGCGCATGGGTGCTGCTGGAAGCCACAGGAGCTGCATCAACTCCAAACCAGGAGCTGCAAGATCACAGTAGTGTTTCTGGAACATGGGGACAGAAACAAACAAAGACCAACTGGATTATACAGCACGGCGTATTAAATAACATATGAGGAATTGGTTGCTGTTGTTTGTTTTTTTCAACAACACTGTATTCTGCATGTTGTGCTCAATGGATCCATTGAGGAATCTGCCCGCTAGGTGGTAGTTAGTGTGTAGTAGTGGTGGTAGTTACTTTAAAAGAGAGGCTTGTCAACTGAATAGGCACAACAGTCCCAGTGTGCTGCTTTGCTATGGAGATTTGTAAAGAAGCAGTATGCAGCCTTGACCAAGAGGGATTCCCCTTTTTGTTTGTACTCTGAGCACACTCTCCATGTATGGGAAACTGCCCACATGACTATACATAAAACATTTTGAAATGCTTTAAAACAAAACGTAACAGCTGTGTGATTTTATCATGTATCCCCTTCTGCTACAAACCTAACTTTGCACCGTTACTTGAAGCAAATACTTAAAAAGCAGATGCAGGTCAACATTCATGTTGATTATTCCGCTTTATTTTGAAATTCTGGCTAGGTGAAAGAACAAAAATAGCCCTACAATTCTGTGCAGCTCCTCTTTCTGGCTTTCCAGCACTGTCAGCGTTTCCAAGGGAACTTCATCAGAATTGGCTTTGGGGATGGACAGAACCATTCAGTGCAGCCCAGGTGTATGGGCGAGGGATTGTTTGGAAAACCACTGTTTTCCTGAAAACTCCTGTTTTACTGAAATCCTGAAGTATTGTTGGAAAAGTGTTTTAACTCAAAAAAAATTGCTTGACAGTTTCATTCTCAATGTTCCACAGCAGTCACCACCTCCTGCATGGCTCTTTACCGCAGGGAAAATGAGGGACTTTTGGGGGCAGGTGTGTTTCCATTACACTATCATAATGCCCCTAAAAATCCTTATTGCTCTTGCAGTATTCTTCTGTGTTGCTGGGCCTGGAGTGAACTACTTGAAGACCTAGCTTCTAAGTACAGCTTCTCTCTAAAAACACTTTAAAAGAGCAACTGATTTTCTTTTATTTACCTTATTTTTGGTTGTGTTTAATGTTGCTTGAAATATAATAGCAAGATATGCCACCAGCTGTTGATAAACAGATGTCATTAAGTCATAAATGCAAGGGACATGCTGGTAACTGCACGGTGCTTAGCGAAAGGAACACACTTTGGCGTAAGAGCAAGAGCTGCACTCTGTTGGTGCAATGAGCGTGTTTCTAACTTAAGAATCCAGAATGTGTGTCTGAAAACTGTCACAGATTTTGCACAGATTTGAAGGAATTTGTTACAGCAGACCTCACTCTGAATGTTAACTGCCAGTAGCAGCACACTTCAGGCTATTTATCAAATAAAAAGATCTGCCCAGTATTTTTAGTTTGATTAAATGCATGCACCCTCCAGTATTCCAATCACACCCCTCAAAGCCCCAAATAAAGAAATTTCTCGAGTGTTTCTCATTTTTTCAGCAGGAAAATCTCATGGGTTAAGTCGTATCCTGCAGGTCACAAGGGGAGCTTGCTGGTATGACCAGAACCCCAAGCCCTCGATGCTCAGATAGATGCTGCAAGAAGAAAACCACTGTCTTTCAATTCAATTACTGAATGAGCTCTGCCGCACAATATTGTCCTCACAGACTTGCTCAGAACATGCTTACGTATCCATTCCCACATGGAAAAGCATTTCAGATGTGTGTCCGGGCAGAAAGCAGTAGAAAAGCTAGACGTATTAATTCTAAATGTGCCTATCACTGCCTCAGTGTTTCTGTTCGACTTGTTGATCACAAAGTGATTCCTGGCACCTACTAATGTGAATGAAAGATGCTGGCTTAAGGCCTGTGCAGCCCTGAAAATGACCAAAATCACTTAGAAAGTATTAGATAACTGAATTATTAATGTTGTGAATAAAGGGGTTTGATCAGTAAACTTTTAATTTCCAAGTAATGCTCCCAAAGACTCTGCAGCTGTGTTAAAAACGTGTGAGGCTGCACAGATTCTGTCATGTTCTGCAGTATTTAACATCTGCAGAGGGATCACTCCCAGAGCTATAATTTTTATCACCTTTATATAAAAGAGACTTACTGGAAAAAGACTGGAATTCTAATTACTTTTTAGGAGTCCTCTGGGGGACTGCACTTATGACAGCGCTATATAAGAGCAGTGCGATAGATTTGAGCATTAAAGCTGATATGATTTTGCATTTGCCCTATGTTATATTCTCACATGACACATAAACTGTTAAGAATATCAGAAAAAATGTATTTTTTAACATAAGCCATCTTTCATTCAACTGCTTGGAGATGCAGCCTGTAGATTTCAACAGCTGATTCTTACAACCACGCCTACTTAAAGTCAGTCTTTAGACTGTAGCAAAATCAAGATTTCCCCTGAAATGTGCATATTTAAACGTGTTTATCACGTTACACCGCTGTTGAGAAAAATATTTCTTTAGAGCTGGCAGCCCTGAGCGTAAATTTAAGGAGGGGAATCAAAATCAGTTTGTGATTTATCCTTAAAGATTCAAATTCAAGTACTTGCTTCAAACTGTGTATCTTAACTGCTTATATGATTTTGATTAGAAATAGCATGTTACAAAAAGCTCAGGACTTGGTACAGCCCCAGAGGAAGGACTGCAGCACCCACCTGCAGACTGCCTGCTGAAACAACAGCGCCTTGCGACCGGCTGCGGACAGCCTGCAGTACAAAGTGCTCTGCCAGTGGTCATTGTGCTGCATGGTTGGTTTTTTAAGTATGAGCAAAGTGAACGTTTCCCTTCGACTCTTCAGGATTTTGGTCTCTTTCAACTACAGGAGTCGTTAACAAGGACCAATGGATTCGTCACACTGATCTGAATGCTAGAACAGCAACAAGTAGGCAGTAGTTTTCAAATAGCACTTCCACAGTAGAAAATTTATTAAATGTTTGTTATGTGCCAAGAAATGAGTAATACGAGAATACTTTCATTCTTTTACAGAATGGAAGAGCGCTACCAGCATTTTAGGTTTTTATAGATGTATTGTTTTTGTGACCACCAGCAGCCTCAAAATAGATAAACAAAAATAGCAGAAAAAGACACAGAGTTGTTAAGTGGACAGCCTGTATAAAGCAGAGCAATCCTCTGGCTTTTGTGTTGAGTCTGACCGTTATTATCTCAGTTACAGTAGTGTCTCCACCGTTACCTGTGCTGATTATTGCAACGCTACTCAGAATACAGCAGCAGATCCAGTTCTGCACTGAACTGTGGCACTATCGATTCTGCTTCAGTGGGTGTGGAGGGGACACCCAGCACCCCAGGGCATGTGGCCACATCAGCAATGGACGCAGAGCTTTAGCACAGGAAGCACTGCTGCACCTGCATCGCAAGAGAGCTGTTCAGAAGAGCTAAGGTACACCATGTAGGCCTGGCACGTGCCAGGGAGGTGCCGAAGGCCTTCAGTGGGACGAGGCGAGGTGAGCTGCTGCATGCACTTGGCTGGGCCCAGCGAGGACTGCAGCAGCAGCTCCCTGCAGAACGCCGATTCCTGCCATTTGGGGCCGCGGCTCAGGGCAAGTCTGCTCTGGCCTTAACCATAATATCTTCCTACACCAGCTTTATTCCTATCTCCTCCTTTGCTGATCACCCTGTTAACAAACAGAAGCTTCCAAGAACTCAAAAAAAAGAACCAAAAAAACCCACAAGGCAGCTGTTTCAAGGCATTCCTGCCAGACAGGAGACAGCCGCGGCTGCGATGTGCTGATAACACACCTTGTGCCAACATCCCACTACGGAATGCACGCGTGAAAAAGCCACACCAATTAGTAAATTCAAGCTTCTCCATTTTCTCCAAAAGCAGGACGCTCAGTGCAGTGCCCTGAAACGCAGATGCTCATACAGTGCAGGGGAGAATGAATGCATGCCCTTGCCAGGACTGTGCAATGCCTGGGCACTGCAGCAAGTGCTCTGCGAACGTGGGGGCTGGAGGGCAGAGCCCAGCATTACTGCTGTCTGGTGGGCCTGGTTATGTGGACTTTTTATCAGAAGCAGCCTGCAAGGAAGCAAGAAATGGAGAGCCACTGCACTGTGTTTCTGCTGGCCAGTCTCCCTAAGAAAACCTCCTTGGTCAGTGTTAATTCTGCGCCATATGTAACAATACCTGTAACAGCAAGTTTATCTTATTTTAAAAGTTAACTTTTTCCAGTGCAGCATAATAATGGATAGCATTAACATTAGCATGTATCCCAAGGATGAATTCTCACTTCTTTTTATTGATGTCACAGCAAAGAGGAAAGAGTACTTTCCTGTTTCGCCTATGAAACACTGAACACCACTCCCGTTTTTCACACTAGCACATCTAAATGCAGCAGGGGAATGGGCCTTTGCTCTGCCATTCTGCAGAATGCTGACATACGTGTTTGGCATTAGGTGTTAGAAAAACTGGAAAGAAGGAAGAATAATTTGAATATCTTTTGGAACTTTTTTTTTACTTCAAGCTGTAACTATTCATTAACAATCTTTAGCATTAGAGTTTAGAAAATGTGCTTATTCATGTAGAAAAAGACATGGGAATGAAAAACAGAACAGCACCGGAGTCCCATTAGGCTGCAGACCATTGCCAGGGTCTTCTTGCAGGAGCTTTCAGTTCTGCTGCTTGTTTTGAGTGGGGCAAAAAGATAAACATTTTCTTGTTGCAAACACTGCCATACGTGACAAGTTGATAAGCAGTATCAAGAGTTGTGCCAGAGGTTTATTAGTTCACTTGAACAGCATGGAAATGTGAGGAAAAGTTTTGTGCAGCTGAAAAATGGAAAACCATCAGTCAGTGCCCAAATTGATCTGCGGAAAAAAGACATTTTCTGTCCTCAGTAACCAGAGCTTTCACTGCTGTGGACACTTCATCTGCTGTCCTCAATGAATCTGCCTCCTTTGCACAGCCTACACCACCACGGCTGCGGTACGTGTTTTCAGCTGGTGCAGATACACATACAGGAATACAAATTACAGGAATATAAATACAGGAATATAAATTCTGTACTGATACTCACAAGCGACTATGCCACACATGTGATAAACAGAACTTCACTGGTGACTTCACTAGATGAACAATAAGCATTTTCTGCTGTTTGTCTTTTCGCTCTGGGGACACTGTGGCCACGTTTCCACGTTTTTGCCTTTTCTACTAAAATTAGGCACTGTGTATTTGGACATGGCACAAAAGTGCTGCGATGCGTTCTGCTGCACGCCTCCGTCCAGCGCTCCCTAAGATCTTTCCTGCCTGTTTTTGTTCTGTAAGTACAAACACCTTGAAACACGCTGTGTTTGCGTTGATACTGTCACTAACTCTGGATTTGAACTAAAATTAGCAAAAAATATAGAGATCCTGCCTTACATATCCCAAATATCACTTTCCATTATGTTCTCGTAACAGTGCACAGCTGATAGAACAAGGAGAAACACAGAGATGATGCACAGTGATGCATTATGCACAGGGCTGCTGGCAGAAATTTGAGGTGAGCATATTAATTATGAATAATAAAAGCACAAAGAAAAAGCTTCTTCCTGCATCACGGGAGAACTTTTAACCTTCCAACTAAGGGCATTTTTGTGTATCTCACTGAAAAGCTATTTTACAAAATGCTTATTTTTTTTTTCCTTACAAAAGTAAAGAAATACTATTTCTGCAATCCTTTTCCCCACCAAGACAGGCTTTTAATCACCACTGGCATTTATAATATGGCAACTCTTATGGCTCTAGAGAAACAACAATCCAAAGGAGAAAAGTGTGACATATTTTGCCTGGAAAACGTTGTTACACTGACAAAGAAATATGAAGAACGTATATTAATATCCTGTCTCACAATATGGGGTAAAAGCAAAAAGAAAACCAGGAGAGAGAGGTGAAATACATACTTCTGCAAGATGGTCAGTAAATAGAGGCAAAATAATTATTTGCAAGACTTCAATGATTCCTACATGCCTGAAGGAGGACAAGAATAGGACTTTCTTCAGGATTTGACAATTGCTGGGCTCTGTGGAATGTAGATACCTTTGCCCATTTGTATGAGAACGTGTCCTTTGCCTTGGTTTCCCTCCGAGAGCTCGTAAGTGAATACATAGGAAGGCTTTCAGGACTTCCCTCCTCCTGTATTTGCACACATACAGGAGATGCACGTGCAGGATATGTATCAGAAGGAATAAAAAGGTGTCAGCAACTGACCTTGCTGAGAGCGTCATATGAGTATGGATGTTTGGTGAAAATAAACACGCTCCTGTCTGTCTTGAAGGAAATACAGCAGTGGCTTTTTTTTCCATTCTCACCGTTCTCAAACACCAAATACCATTCAGCTACAAGTGAGGAATTGTCTGTGTGCAGGTGCTTGGCTTCATTGAAAACATACACTTTTCTTGGTGGCTGAGCTGTTCACCATATTCACATCAGCCTACTAGAGGCAGCTCTGTCTCGCTTTTTTTTCACATGCTTGTAATGAGAAGAGATGAGCAGCCTGGCTGCCTACAAAGGTAGCAGTGTTTGTAAAACAACAGAAGAACAGCAGCACTGCAGGGCGCAGGCTGCCATACACTGCTTCTGCTTTCTTACGACAACAATCTTGTAACTTCAGCTTTGGGTTGCAGAAACTACGGCTGTCCTGGCAGCATCCCATCCTTTTTTCACCAAGGGGGGCAAAAGAAGTGTCCATCTCTAAAGGTCTGCTTCCGCTTCTTACCGAGGCACGGTGCACGGCTGAAATTGAAGAAAAATCCTGAAAGATTTAGATTGTAATTTGTGAAACTGGTTAAAGTATTGTGTGGAAACTGACTTTCGTAATGCAATCTGTCTACTTTTTCTCCAAATGTCACAAAAGAGAATTAAAATTTAAATGCACTGCTATGTTTTGCAGAAGATTAAAAATTACTGTTCTTTGAGCAGATTCTAGCAGCAGTGATGGAAATTGCTTTATATACTGCAATGATTTATACTTCTTCATTGTATAATTTGTTTTATTCCCAATGCAACTCAGCAGGATTACAAAGGCACGTATGAATAAATATGAATTTGAGATGTTGCAACTGAGTGCAGGAGCACAATGATGGTAATTCTTCCCCGCAGATCAAGAAGCTTTAAACGTACATTTCCCTCAACAGAACAGTTGGATGTTACCGAAATGACTACTGTGCCTACAAGTGCCCTTTGCAGCATCATTCCCTCACTGATCAAACCATCACTGTTGGCCCAGCACATAAACCAATGCAAAGTACTGCCCAGAAAGAAGCTTGCTGTTACCTGCCTATGCAGTTCCCACAAAAGCTGCTGCTGAAAATTCTCTCCTATCAGATGTTTCTGCACTGTGAATGCTAAGGAAATGCTAGGGAATTTGACTGCATGATTTTTAAAGAAACCAACAGGATCATCAGATTTACACAATGATTACAGTTCTGCTTGCTAATATTGATCCTCCCTTCAAAGGAAATGAATGCAAAACAAGACTGGAGTTATAATACACCAATAATGTTTTGCTTTTCTGAAAAAGTAATGATAGCTGGTGCTTTTGTATCTATTTCCTTATCATCTCTGAAATATAAGTAGTTAAAACCCCAACATAAGAATAAAGAGGGATGACAGAGGTGGCAAAGTACCTCGATGTGGATCTAAATATAACCAAGGTTGTTTATATCGGTGAGCTCTACCAAAGGATATGTGCTTATGCGGCTTTCTTGGTTGGGGAGTCAGTTTGCAGTGCTCCCATGTATTGTATCCTTTATTGTTCGTATTTCAAAGGTCATTTTTGCAAGATTCTAAACCAATAAATCAAAAGCTAAATTATTATCTCAGTAGCAGAAATGGAGAAGCTGTAATATTGAGGTTGACTGACTCTGTCAAGTAGATGTTTATTATTAGAAATAGGATTAGATTTCATGTCATCACTCCAAATCTTGTACCCAGTCTTCTTGCACTGGCGACCTACCGTAATGTACTGCATGTTAATGTACTGCATGTTAATGTGACCATTCTGAAGCGGTTAATACCCGGGGAGGAGCTATTTCCTGAGTTGCCAGGTGAATGACTAAACATTTCCTAAGGCTCACTCAAGACATGGAAGACAAAATATCTGTCGTTGTTTGTCACAGTTCATATTTCTGCTGCTTCTCAGACGTGCTGTGATTCATCTCTGAGGAATACTTCATATACTGTAATTTATTTTTCTATCACGACACTCGCAGTTTGCCAAAACAGCAATTTCCCTTGTGCTGTCTGAGCATTGCTAGCTCTTCAATCAAATGTATTCTGCCTGTTTCCATCCCTGCTCTCTGTCTCAGTTATTGTTTTTGCGAAGATAAGAAAACCCCATTTTTACCACTGGAGAGCCAGGCTGCTTAGGTCACAAGATTCTCTTGGCTTAATCCCTGAGTATGAATCACAAACTTTCCCTACGAAGTACTGGCATTCTTCAGATGATCAAGCCAGCTTACAAAGGCTTCCAGAGCTTTCCGCATTAATGATCACCATGTTTAAAGCATCAAAAGCAGGAGCTGATTAAGAATTAAACTGTTTATTCTTACTTTTCCCATTTCCTCTGTTTCCTACACTTACGTGGCTTCGAAGTGTAAACAGCTGTGATGCAACTCACGTCAAAAGCAGTAATATGAAAAATAGGATGAAAAAGATAAATGAGACAAAAATATTTGTGTGAAATACAAGAAACAGAGTTACACTTTCTGCAATACATGGCTCAGAAATAAAATGTATATGCCCATGTGGCTCGAGTTAACAAAAAGCATTTCTCTCACATTTAATATCAGAAATGCTGGAGGTAGCCAAACAACCATTCACAGATGATTTACAACCCCTGCTGAAAAAAAAAGTCATGCACTATTGAGACATCACAGTAAATGTCATATAATTCTATAGGCATTATGTGAAGGTATAGATAAAATGAAGACACCCCCCAAAATCATTTCTTGAGATGTGAAAGTGGAAAACAGAATATTCATTCCAGATGCAGAACACAGACAATTGCTGAGATAAGACTGGACACTAGTGAGCACATAACCCTGGAAACATGAAGGTCCTGGGCAATTCAAGACAGGTGTTGTATTCCTGCACCACATTCAACTACTAGATCTGATAAAAGGAGACCAAACTTGAGCCCATTCACTTTGGCTACCAATGAGATTTGTGAAACTTTTACCAGAACAGCACTTCTGCATAAAAATGGAGGAAACTATCTGAACAACAGTCCTTTCTTGTATTATTTCCAGATTTGGTGAAAAACATTATTAAGACTAATAAATACATTATACAGTCACGCAAATTTTAAACTGAACTTTTTGGGCTATCGCTGTGACAAGCATTAAGAAAAGTTTAAAGTTCTCAGAAGCCATGCTAGGCAGCTGTTAACTCTTCTCCTTTTCCTCAGTGACTATTTTTTGCCTTTTCTTAAGGAAGCGTATGGATGTGGAAAAGGCCTGCTTAACAATTCAGACCAAAAAAAAGCAACCAAATGCTAACAGTTTGTGTTCACAAGACAGCAGAATGTCTTACCCTAACAACCATCGCCCTTAATTTTGATTTGCAGACTTCAAAATATGAATGTAAGTATTTCACTTCAGCAGGAGGGCAAAATTAAATCCTAAGGCAAAATATTTATGCTCAGAATACAAGTTCAGCAGTGGTGATGATGCAAGTTTAACATTTAACATGTATCTGCTTAAATTGTTTCATTTCCTTCTATGCTGTTGACGATTTTCATTTAGCTGCCTTTTTCATGATTGGATGATGTCTACCTTTAACTAGAATTCTTACCAAATCTGCCTCCCTACCAATCCAAAGAGCAACAGAGTCAATTCTCTGTTCAGGACAAAGATCTCAGCATGTTACTTTTATGTATCAGTAAGAGAAAAAACGATAGAGGAAACGAACCAGGAGAACAGAAAAACAAAATAAGAAGTGAAATCCAAGTTTCTAATGCAAAGATGTAATGCCAATAAGCCTTTCCAAAGAAACTGACGAGCTGCCAGCTTTTCTACCTGTTGCCTGGAAAACATCGCTGTGTTCACTGATGCTATCAATAAACCGGGTGTGTTCTGAAACAACTCTTTCTGAGTGGTGCCAGCTTCTGTGAATGGGGAGGGAGCTTTGCTCCTATAGAGCACCACTAGAAAGATGGTTCTGGGCAAAAAAGCAGGTATGGGGCAAGCTTGGTTAACTCATGTACACAAACTCTGTAAAGAAAAATAAATTAACAGTTGAAAAGAAAAACCTTGTTGCCTACAGATTGGTGGCAGGAAGCACAGGACTGTAATTTGCATCTCTGAGAACAGCAATTTGCAGGGCAAAAAGTCTTAATGGCTGTTTTTTAATACCCTATAATATCAGGTTTGTACTCTTGCCGATTTGTTTTCTTTAGAAAAATAAAAGACCAGTGTTTTGTAATATTTTCTTGCTAGATTTTTAAATAATTGTCATTACAGTTATCCATGCTACTAAGGATATTTGCATATTTGCATAACTATGTCAGTAAAAGGGCAGATCACACTAGCAAACTTCTCCCACATCGTATCTTGTTCAGCCCTCAGACACTAAGATTCAGTACAGGCTGTCTATTCTATTTAGCTCCTCAACAGTGCTCTGGTATCTCCTACTTGCTTTTCTGCCAAACTTTCACATTTCATGTTTATAGCAGAAATGCTGAGTCGTGGCCTGAAGCAGTGATGGAGCACCTGGTGGGAAGGCAGGGCAGCCCAGGGAGCTCAGGTGCATGCAATGCAATGCAATGCAATGCACTGAGTGATGGAAGGGTGGAACCAGGACCCACCCCTTCCCTGCCCTCACAGGCTGGCAGTGAAGGCAAGGGGATCCCATTGGAGATCCCTGTGTACCTGAGGTCCTCCAAAGGTCAGCAGTTTTTCTTCCTTTGTTTCTGCATCTATAGCTGCAGCCTTTGGACTTGGTCTCATTTTCTGCAGCCCAGGATTGTGCCACCCTGCTACTATTGCTGGCTGTACTTTCCATCACATTATAGCATTACAAGGGTTAAGGAAGACCTGGCTTTACTTCATCAAATCCCAGTTTTGTGCTCCAGCTGGCCGTGCTAAACTGGTCCTCTCAGATGTGAGGTCTTACAATCCTTTCTATACCACAAAAGGTCTGGATCACCTCATAAAACTACAAGAGGGACCTTGTTTCCAAGATACTTAGTAATTTTCACCAAAGGAAATATGGAATCCCAATAGATGACTCTCAAGTTTTCATTTTACTCTCAGTAGCTCCCTTACTTGTTTTGTATGCATCCTAAATAGCTTCCTGTCAAACCACTCGAAGTAAAGACATCGCTGTAAAGACTGAACTACTGCTGTAAGCACCATTCTGCTCATCCTTAGATTCAGAGCTCACCAAATCAATGCTGACCAACTTCCCAGCGACCAACCTTCCCAATGCTGACCAACCTTCCCTTTTCTATAGTAATCTTCGTGGTAGTGCAGTCTTGTTAACACTGGAAATTTCAGATTCATTGCAGCATCTTTGGGACAGAGAGGGGCTTGAGGGGAATTAAAGCTGTTGCATTTCTTTTGGAGCTAAGTGGAGAAACATTCTGTACCAGAAGTATTCTGTGTCACTGTCAATAGCATCTACAGCAGAGGGCATGACTTTCAGCCGTCGAGTGACTCCAAGCCAGAAAGAGAGCTCAGGCTGTTTGTAAGCTAAATTCTGAAACGTTATTCACTCTGAACAGAGTTTTCTAATCACAGTATGAGACTTTAAGATGACTACACCCCAAATTTACGTGCCAGTATCTAACGTGATGGGAGACACCATGTAGGCTGTGAATCGGTTAAATAGACTGCGTGAAGAGTGAGGAAATGTTATTCAGCTCCTCGTAAAGACTTCTTTTAGTTTTCTCACATTGGAGAATGTGAGAATTGAATAGTGCAGGGGAGTATTTCTGTTCCTGTTGGGTCTTTTTCTACATACAGTAACAGCAGAACACGCAGGCTTCCTGCTGACGGCACTCTCTGGAGTGAGCATCTGAAATACCTGGCTTGCATGCTCCACTTTTTTCTTCTGTTTAAGCTTGTTTAGCTAACAAATATCAGGTTGGAGTCATTCACCAGATAGAAAACTCTGCTACTAACCTAACTCCAAAACAAATTTGGAAGCTGGGCCAATCCACTCTTGCTTTTCTAGCTTTATGCTCTCTATTGCGAGTGCAGTGCACAAGTGGCTAGTACCAATATGTCCAGGTGGCAAATTAATGATCATGGCTGCTCTTCCTGACACTGACTGATTAATTCTCATACTTCTGAGCCAAGCTTTGGTTTCTTGACAGTTTGTTTAGCGAGGAACGAGTAGTTCTCTGTTGATACTGATTCATTCCTGATCACCTGTTATTTCTCAAGCTGTCAGTTTGGACTCAAATGCAACTCGTCAGATTCTCGCTACCCAGCGGTTTCACTTGCTATAGACTAAAGAGCAAATAAATCATCCATGGTTTTATGTTTCATTACCTAGTCAACCACTTTCTTGTTAAATAGGCAGAAAAGTAGGGGTTGTAATCTCCAACCAACATGGCAAGATTTTCCACGTTGCACTTAGGATAGTATTTATTTTGAAGTAGTCTGAATATGACAGTGGACATAAATACTAACGTTATGTAGTACTCAAGTCCTGGAAATCTTCTGGACCTGAATGTTTCATTACATCCTAAGCTTTGTGGGTTAGTTTAGACAACAGACTGATTTTCTTCAGAGCATGGTGAACTACAGGGTGCAAACCAGCTCCCGAAGCAGCTTATTTTCCTGAAAATCACAAGTGCCTGGGAATCCCCGTACTAAATTCATGAAGGTGTGAAACTCTGAAACTCTCCCTGCTGCTCTGAGGTCCAGATAGAAAAAAGTGTCTAAATTACTTTTCTAACATGCAAGCAGTAGATTGCTGAGAAAGACAAGAGCATTCAGTGCTCCACAACGGCTCCAGATTTCTTTGTATTACTGGGAGTAAACATCAGCTCTGGTTTTATGAACAGTAATTCAGTATTTCTCTGTAAGCGTTCCTGATTAAAAACCATGTCTTCATTTTACTGCATTTTTACTTTTCTGACCTTTCCTATCTGGGACAACATATTTGTACTTGGTGAGTGTTCCAAGGACGATGGCTTTATTTCTTTCTCACAATTCTTGTGTGACTAGGAGAAATTCTTTAGGAATGAATAGAAGCTTTTTTGGCCTATAAAACTTGTCCTTTTTTGGTTCTGACTTTCTCACATGATGTCATGCAGTTATTTTTCTGAACGATTTCAACGTGTTTGCCTCAACAAGTCTCCTATTTTATTATTATTATTACACTTCTCATCTTTTCAAAAAGAAAACTCCACTCTTTCATTTTAAAGAACACTGCTGTTTCCCCTCCACCCTCTCTCATTTTGGTTCTCCGTTATATCTGGGAGATGCATGTCAGGAATACGTAAGGTGATACACACCATCTATTCTGTAAAAAGCAGTTTTGTGTCTCCTGCTGCAATGTCTGTATTCAGTGCTCTGGCAGTATGAAGCTGTGGCAGATAATCAGCAGGCCTTGTGCACGACTTGAGCTGTATCACTTTTCAATCTGTTGTTACCACCATTTCCCTATTCCATTACAATATGATTATGAAAGCACGACTATGATTGATACAACTGTACTGGTGGGAATTTTAAAAAGTGCTTCCCCAAAAGAAATTACATTTCTGAAAGGCAAAGTATCAAAACAAATGGAATTCTGAAAGAAAGAAGATTTTCTCAGAAGGATTTTTTGTTAAGAAAAATGACAGATATTTCCTTCTGATCTGGCTTCAGAAATGAAAGGGACAAACTCCACATTGCTGAAATTAAATTTTGGATTGCTAAAATGGAATTTGGCAATCTGGAGTTTGGAATGATAATTTCAGATAGCAAACCTGACTTCGATAAGGAGATCATTCATGGCACTGACAACCTTCCTGCCCAGTTTATTGGTGAAACAAATTTGTTGATCTAATGTTAGTTTTTTGATGCTCAAATAACCGCACAGTATTTCCTGAAAAGCATGAGGACAAGCACTCTGCTTCTGTAAGGACACTTTTTCTGTACTGGGAATATATATGGGAATATATGGAATTGAAACAGCTGTTGTGTGCCTGTTCTGCTGCTTTAGGGTCGGTGCAGCCAGAAACAAGCCCAGCAAGGAGCCCAGAATCCCTTCAGTGACAGTTCTGTGCTGGAGAGACAGATCCTTTCCAAGCAAGCACCGCCTGTACATGGGATGGCTATTTTTGAAGAAAGAACATATTTGTAGATGACTTAGTGACTTACTGCAGGTAACTACAGAACTGTGGAGAAGGGCTGGATGGGGGGGAGATGATTCTAGAAATCTCTCCCTAATATCTGCATTCGACTTTGTAATGTTAATTTAATCTTGTGTCATTTACATAAGTTCAAATCCTTACAAATATTCAGGTGCTAAGACCTTGAAGATAATTTGGTATACAGCTACTTTATTGTAACTCACAGGAGGTTGTTTGAATGTAAAGCTGTTACATAGAAAGTGAATTCAAATTTCAGCAGTTTGCAGAGTCCCATTGACAGATCATGGTCCTTAAACCAACATAAACCGAGAAAAAAAACACGAGCATGTTTTGTAACTCTCGTAATAGTAGCTGGAAAGGCTCAGTATCTGCAAATCCTTTACAGCCGTTAACTGCTACTTACATCAAAGAAAGCCAACCTTTTACACGCTGTACTCCTTCCCTACCAGCCACATCTACAGTTTGCGTCCATAATTATTCATGCTATTTCCTAAGAACAAAACAGGAGCAGAAAAAACCCAGTGGTTCACTGCTGAGCATGTGAAATTAAAGTGCTGCCTATTTGTTAAATTTTAACATCCAGAGCTGTGAACTGCCATGACCACAACGCCAGCATTCCATGCGTTCTGTAGCCTTGTTACGGGCCAGGAGCTGCCAGCAGAGAGGCAGGGCAGATGCATACAGTGAACCCTAACCAGCTTGCCAGGTAATTCACCTACTTGGGCTCTACATCTGTGGTCAAACACTTCAGAAACAGCTGTAATTGTTTAAAGATGTTATTTTTTTTTCTACTTGTTTCTTACTATCCCTAAGTCCAAGCAAGTGAAATGGACAGATGTCCCAAGCCAGGGGAGTTAAGATGAATAACCTTCCAAAACAGTCAGAGATACATAGCTGAATTTCCTGCACCAAAGGTCTACTTTAAAAGTGACCTAAAATGTAGTCACGTTAAGGAGACAGGGCATACCCCAAAGCTCTGTGGGGCAGGTATGCATCCTCTGTGGGGCAGGTATGCATCCAACCTGGGCAGAGAGTGGCTAGAAGACTAATTAAGCAATGGAATTCCCCAAGATTTTGCTAGTAACAACTAGCATTGACAGATGCTACCAGGAATTATGTCTCAAGGGGTTAAAACTTGGTTAAATAGGTAGATCTTTCACAGAAATAACAAAAAGCACATGCTCAACAGGAAGGCCAATTTCCTGTCACCATCAAATCTCCATTCCAGGCCTTTAGGTTATTCTCACTATTTCAAAGAAGAAAAAAAAAAAAAAAGCCAGACCTTTTTTTTTTTTGTTGTTTGTTTGTTTGTTTGTTTTTTTTAAGAAGAATACAGAACACTGGTCTCTGGCTTTATTAAAGATAAACATCAATTCACTACATTTGCACTATGAATACAAAAGGTTTCTGCTCTAAGTTTTTTTTTTTTTTTAATAGTTAATGTATTATTAACCTAAATCATTCCACAAACCAAGAATTGGTCAAAGATTATCTTCTAGGTTTCATGGTTTCTTAAACAAAGGTATCTTAAAAACTTCAGTGCTGAGCAGAAATGGCATTGGCACTCATCATGCCCTGTGGTTATTTGGCTTTCACGGCCTAACAGGCTTTACTTTCCTTGCTTTGTTGTTTAAAGAATTGCCACCATACTCAGAATTAGCTGAAGTGTCCCAGGCCCACCTGGATGTTGGGCGCAGCACCATAATTTCTAGGAATCTTTATTTAGAATATTTAGATGTTTGGACCAACTGCCAACATATGAATCCTGCAATCTAAAGATTCAAATTCATTTCATTCTCAGTAACATTCCTCACATGCAAGAAATATATTACATGTTATACTCAAATGTACACTGACATAACACTAGAAGGCTTTAAATCAACTCTCAGTGATTTGTATTTCTAATGCTCTTTTGCACATCTGTTGGCATTCTTCACTTTCTGAAACCTGGTCAATCATTTGATGCCTGAGAATTTTTTAACTGTATGAGTTTTAGCTGATGAGTTCATGTGTCCATCAGTCCGGAAAAATTAAGTACAGCAATTTTGTTTGAAAATTGTCAACTCAAGTGAAAGAGCACTTTGTTGATGGGGGTAAATTAGATTCACGTAAATAATGGTTTTTTTTTTAATGCAATAAAGCCTTAGTGTCAGAGTAATAATCTGAGATACATAACTATTACTTCCTCATTACAGATGGAGAAGCTGCAGACAGACAGGTTAAAGTGAGTTGCACAAGGTCACAATTGAGATCCATGGCTAACCTGACAGTGACAGGAGTCAGATTATCTAATGCTGTCTCCTACCAGGAAAAAGAAAAGAGTTATCTGCCTTATAAATAACAGAGCAGCTCAGAAGTGTTTTCCATTTTGCCAACATTGTGAATAAATGCTGGCAGTGTACATGTGTGGAATTTGGCACAGAGCCTCTTTCCTTACAATGTGTCATTCATCCTCCCTTTTAGCAGTTCATTGCCTGCTCCTTTTAGGTGGCTTATAGGGAAGAAAAACAGAGCAAAATAATACATTCATATTGCACTAATGAAACATACAGGTCGAGAGCACTATTCTCTTCGAACTTTGCAGCAGTACAAATTGTCTACAGCATCAGTCAGGTTAAGGACTACCACTGGTCCACCCCACAGATAGAGGAAAGTCTTTAAATTCTTGTTTTTATTTGTCAGGAGAATGTGAAGCTCTCTGTGGTACGATTTGATGAAAAGCTGAAAAAAAAAAAACCCAACTTAAATGGAAGTGCCAGAAAAATTACTGGAGCAACACGCTGCGTCAAGGGCTGTAGGGCTTCCCCCGTAACACCATAAATCTCTCCAGGTTCACTGGAATCTGCAGCTAAGTATTAAATTCACTCTCACTAAAAACACAAACACTAAAAACCCACGTGGGTTTTTGGGTGGCTGAGCTTCATTCTATGCAATGACCAAACCTTCATAAGTCAATGTTCTGAGATATACCCTGGAAGGTTGTATAAATAGTAAGTGAATAATAAGTCAGAAGAATTTGATCTGTCAGGAAGAAAGCATGTTTGGACTCCCTGACTTTGATAAAAATTCAGTCTAAACTAAAGAAAATATTAGTTTGATGAGCTCTTACATGAGCTTTGTTACAGCAATATAAAAATGAAAGGAGTTTTTAAATCCAACATAATTAAGTGTAAGTACCCCAGGGAAAAAAATCCTTCTCTGAGATTGGACTGATTTTTCATAAATAGAAAACCTCACAACATTCCATCACCACTGGGAGAAAAATCAATAAATAATCAAACATGCTTGGCCACGAGATCTCTACCAATCCCATCATTCAGATCTTCATATGCACTCTGAACTGTGACAATATTCAGAAGACACCACTTTTATTAACGTGTCCCATCCAAAGCTCACGCACATCCTTCCAGTAGCCAAAGACGACTTCTGACCTGTGAGGATGAGATTGTGTTGGAAGACCTAAAAACAATGTGAAGGTAAGGAGGGAATCCCTCAAACGCTACTGCATGCTATTACATGTGAGAATATGATCGTAACCTGTGGACATACAGATGAGCTACATGAGAAGTCGTTATTAACATTCGCTATGAGATACGGGATACACGTATGCAAAAAGAACACAGCTCAAAATGCTTGCAGATTCCCACTACCATACCACGCACCTCATCGCAGAGTGGAATACAGACAAATCAATCTATGCGGAATTACTGTAGTTTCAGACAAATGATTTCTAGCAGCTTTTTAACTTCCAAGCTAAGGAATCTGTAACGTACAAGGGAAGTGTGCAGCCGCCTGACCTCCCAGGCATACATTTGTAGCTCCAGTCAACTCCGTGCTTCAAAACAACTCTTTCAGAGCATGGAAGGTGCGAGGCAGCTGGCATAGAGAGCGAGCTGGATCTAGAGCAGTGCATGAGCTGGCACGGCTGAGCACAGTAAGTGCCAAGCAGATTTGCAGTGATTTAAACAGGGCTCGAACTACAGGAAATGGGGGGGAGGAGGGAGGAGTTTGGAAACCTTGTTTTTGAACACGGTATGGTATTATTTAAACACTATGCCATTACTTTCTTCAAATGAAATATAAGTAAAGAACTCTGTATCTTCAACTCAGCTATGTGAGCTGTGTATTCTTTAGTTTGGATCCCTGGAATTTTATAAGGGTTCTTAAGTGTCTGCTTTGGTTTTATTGTTAAGCAGATACTGCATATCTATGATTATGGGTGCTTTCACTTATATATATTAGCCATTTCTTCCATTCCAGTTTCCAGTATTAATTTCAGTTATCTAACAGCCAGTCAGAGCACGTTAAGATGGATCCACTCACCCAGAGGGGTCAGTGGCATAGTTTGGATTTCCTCTTAGGATCATTCATGCTGATTCATTTTCCATAGAAGAAAAGACTGGAATGTGGCAGCACCATATCAGTTTGCCACCTTGCACTGCAAGGTTTGAAAACTGTGTCTAATGGTTTTTTATTTCAAGTGTGGATAGAAGTCAGTAACGCTCTTCTAAACAATAGGGTAAGCTTACGTCCATTAGTTCATGGCATACAGAGCAAGAGCAGCAATGGAAAAAATGCAAAAGCTAATGAGCATAGCTTTCTGTATTCACACATCACCACATAAATTTTTTCACCTTTCTGTTTTTCCTAGAGTAGACAATATGATGTTTTAATGCAATTTGTGTCTCCATAGACAAAACTGGAAAGCTGTTATGTCATACACAAGTCTAAATATCTAAAAGGCAAATTTAGTTTAGCGTTTTTAAAAAAAGACAGTTTTCTGAGTGTGAAGTCACTCTGGTAGCACTTATCTTGCTTCAAGCACCAGATGAAGCTCAGCCTCCTGCTGGCTCTGCCCACAGGTTTCTGCCGCTTCCCCCGTCAGACCAAAACCATCACGGACTGTTTGCTTTCCAACAGCACTGACACGCCGCTTTGGCCTTATTCCTCCTGCCACTATCAGACATCCACTCAAAAGCAGTCATCAAATACATTTAGAGATAGACAAACAGTTTTGTGAATGTTTTTAGAACAGGCCTTGCAATACAACCAGGCCCACAGAAAACTGTCTGGAATGAGACATTCAGGCATTGAAGTGATGCCTCTCTGTTCAAAATCCGGTAACACTGAGCAATTATTTCAATGCAAAAAGCAAGCACAACATGCAGAGCCCTAAGAGCATGTATAGAAAATTCCAGCTGTCTCAAAGAAACACACAACCTGTAAACCTAGTGGGACTGCTTGGGAGGAAAATACTGCTCTTTTTCACAAGCTACAGTGAAAAGATTAAGTCAGGTGCTCAAATTCTCATTGAAAATGTGAGCAGCTCTAAGTCTGACCACAAGGACAACAGCAAAACAGCAGCCATGATGGTGCTCCAGCTGGGTGCTCACAGCCACAGGTAGCATTAACACAAAACATGAGAACACCTTTATTCTTCATTTTCTGATCTCATTTCACTTTCAATGTTGACAATTCCTGAGCATAACTGAGCACTCCCTATATGAAGTCTTATTTGCACAACTATTTTTAGTTTTATTTAGGAAATATTAGATGTGCACAGATACACTGTTACAGCTAAACAATTTTTCACTGCTACTGCTATCTTTGTGTATTTTTACAATTTTATTAAATAAAACAATTACTAAAAAGAAAACAAGAGGCTCTTCAGCCTTCAAGTCAGGAACTGTACGTAAACTTGAGAAAACTATGAATTTTGTCAATATATTGTTGTCCTTCAGGCTGTTATACCATAACCCAAAAAGAAATCAGCCACATTCTCAATTGAGCCTCAAAGATTGATTTCAAAGTAATCATCTTGAAAACAGTTATCTTGTCAATTGTTTGATGGATTGTAAGCAGATCATAAATTAGGATGAAACACTAGCCACAGTCCCAACCTCCAAATTTTCACATTCAATTACATTCTAATAGCAATCAGATCACACAGGGTGATTCTAGTCATAAACCAGGAAATTGCTTGCTTTTAAGAAATGATTCCAACAGTGGGGAAGTCTAACTTTTCATTTCATTAAATGTTTTCTCCATCATACTTATGAATAAATCATTCCATCGTTTTGAGCTGTGATCCACCCATGATCATCACGTGCATGGCTTTTTATTTTTAAAAGAAATTTCTCATACAGCTATTAAAGCAAAAAAAGAACATTTTAATTACCCTATAAATTCCCATCGAGCCCACCAGCTCCTGAACCAGCTATGGTGAGGCACTACTTCCGTGAAACACACAGGAGAAGTCAGTCAGTTTAAGTTCAAAGCCATAAAAGCACCAGAAATAGACAAGCAATTGCATATTTATTTACTAGTGTATTGTGGAGAATCTTAAGGAATCTTCTTTACTGTGCACACCTGCTCAGTTGGCAATAGTCTACAGACTCAGAAGCCAAGACCTCTTGATTACCAACAGTACTCTCATGAATGCCCTGAAGCTGAAGGGCAGAGAACATTTTTACCTGTGTCACATTTATCATGATTTAAAGACACAGGGTACATCTGGGAGACCAGACATCATCTAGGCACCAAGACAGAACTCAAAGGCTTAAAGAAAGAAAGGGGTTAACACCACTATTTTTTTAAAAAATCACTACATTTTAGCTTTCTACCTCTCTCTTCCTTTCTCCACTGGGTGGATAAATAATTTAGTATTCCATCTAAATCATCTGAAGCGTTTTGTTTTTATCCCAAAACAAGATCAGAGCTGAGTGCATGCATAGGTTGCTGCTCTCCCAGCAACGTTAACATTACTTGGGATACTCAATCTCCCTCAGGCCTCATCCAATCATCTGCCCCTCTTCTCATCCACACCACAGGGACACTCGTGCTGTTCTCTGCTACTCAGTGCTACGCCATACCCTTCACAGGCGCTTCTCTCCTCCACCAGAACCAACCATGCCGCATGCTGTCACACCTGTGCTTTCTGGTCCAAGCCACCCCTCATCCCAGAGATGCTTGAGATACTTTTGCATACGATGAATTTAAGTACAATTTTAACATTATTTTCAATTCAAACAACTAAGTGCTCAAGTGTTATTGATAATTGGTCACTGTCAAGTTTAAACTTCAGTCAAATTAACACATTCCAGCCCTCCTGCTTTATTCCCCTATGGAGAGGTTTTCCTTACTTCTCTCACTCAGGTCTAAGCTCCCAAGTTCTTTTAATCACAAAATTCCCTCGTTTTCCCAATTGAATTTCTGCTTCCACCAACGCCAGCTGCAGGTGACACCCAAGAGCCACACTCTGCCACTCTCACTGCGCCCATCCCCACCGCCTGCAGTGAGGAGCCGCCAGTCCTCGCCTCAGCGCAAGCACAGAGCACCACGGCTCTGCCGCAACGCCTGCCGTCTGCTGAAGGAAAAGCCTTTCACTTCAGCACGACCATCAGCAAGGTAACAACGGCTATTTTACGCCACTGAAGAGCAGAAAAACAAGCCGTTAAGGCTGCTGGGCACTCACCTCGTCCCTGGCTGCACGCAGCGCTGCTCCTGCGCCCACCGCCCACCGGCGGGGCTGAGGGCGCCCCCACCCTGAGGGAAGATGGAGGCCGTGTGCCCTGAGGCCCCCAGCGCCAAGCGCTGTGCAGGTCTCCTCCTGCCGGAAGTTGTTCTGGCCCCGGTAAGGGCAATTGTGCAGCACACAGAACCAGGTAAAGCCACTGCTGCTTCCTCAAACAGAAAACAAAGGAAGAGCATCAAAATTAAACGACATCCTTGGGGTTTACTCCCCACTTCCCCTGAGGACAAAAAGGAATGAAGAGGGGAAAAAAAAAAAAACCCTAAGTAATTCTATCCAAGCATGGTAGATATGCCTGAGTTTACGAGGCCAGAACAGCCTGTCCACACCTCACTGCTGCCCCAGCAGCTCCACACAGCCGCCCCAGGAGCCCGACCCTCCTGTCTCACAGCGCACAGCCCGAGAGGCGCTGCGGCCGCAGACTGGTGATGACAACTTTGTGTTCTGGGAAAAAAAGGTGCAAACTGCAGGCACGTATTTTAAACTTGTATCAGGAAACAAATGTGCATCACATTTAGGAAGCCACATTCCTCCTCTGCTAGAATTAGTGCTTTCATTTATAGTGAGGTGCACAAAAGGTCGTTTCCTCTTTACAACAGCATCTACCCCTGACAACTGTCCACCCAAAATTAGTGCTACTGATATCACAGTCCCAACCCCATCTCATTTTATTAGTGTAAGTAGGCATTATCTGGTAAAATCAAAGGCTACGCAATGACTAGAAAACAGAACAGCGTTATTTTCCTAAGAGGTACTAAGTATAGCTGGAGATAAACAACATCCTGCTCTCCAAAATTCAGAGTGGGAAGAAGACTGGAAATAGTGGATACAGTAGCTTAGAGAAATATACACCCACTCTACTCTTCATACAAAAATAATGATCTGGAAAGGATTTAAGCCTCTATATTGTAATGAAATGAAGACAAGTTCCCATGCTGCTACATACACTCTGGATCAGAAGAGTTCTGTTGATAATTTCCTGTAGCATCACTAATAACACTGTCTTCTGTCCCACATTTCAGTGCAATAATATGATGCTATGGCTGCTACTAAACAAACCAACAATAACAACAAACCTTAGGTGCACTAATTCCAGCAGTACTCCAAGATTAGAAATTAGACATTTCACATTTGAGGGATTTAAATCCTTTTCCCTTTTGCAAAACAAATCCAAGATTCAAGATAGTTCTTGCAATCACTTAAAAAGCCACACATTTTGGCATACCTTCAAGCAGGTTGCTGCACTGTTAAAATGACAATGGTTCACACTGTGATGTAAGTACAATCTGATGTAACTTTCTTAATATTCCACTTTTCCATAGAAATGGTTTTCAACTTGCTGATTTGCAGAACCCTCATTCTTTTTTCCAAGGGAAATGCATAGCAAACGTTTTTCAACAGACTTGGCTTTTCTTCATTACATTTCACAAATATCTTGAAAGTAGTCAGTCCATAGACCCAGAGGGTCTGCCTGATACAGACTGAAAACTGTATGAAGACTTAAAAATAATTTTAAAAAATAGTGTTAGGAAGAGCAAAATAAGAGCACAAAAAATATATTTCAGGAGCCAGTACATAAAAGCAAACCACTTCCTAAGAAAATTTCTTTAATTTTCATTTTATGGAAATACATCTTTTGTTTTTATTTCCATGATACAAAAATGTTAAATATCAAACATTTTCTGAAATCTACCAATGCAGATCTTTTTTAAACAAATAGAGGGCTGGTACAGTTAGCAGGTTTGTCACAGGTACCAAAAAACATTTTTAACAAAAACCCCACAAGATGGGGAAGAAGCAGGGAAGAAATAGATAGGGACTTAGGGGTGAAAACAGCAGCAGATGTGAAAACAAAGAAAAAAACTACCTCCCACCATGAAATTCATATTTAAGGAGCACATAAATTATATTTTTGGAAAAGACAGGGTATCTGTAAAGCTGGTATTCAGATGAAGCTGGCTGCACTGGGAGTGAAGTAAAGAATGGAAAACTAAAAAATGATTTCCAGATAGTAACAGGTAAAAAGCAATATGTGAAACTGCAGTTCTACCTGTATCAAGAGTTCTGACAGCACTCTGATGTTGCCTGAAAAAATATCTAAAGATTAGGAGATTTGTGGTAACTTCCCTCAAGCACAGGAAACAGTCTAGCACAAAATCATAGACTGCCAGGTCTTTTTGTACATTTCATAGCCAACATGCCAAAGTGGATGACCGAAATACATCTAGTCTTGCTTCTTAAATCTAACATAATTAACAACAGCAAGGATTTCACTTGATCAACAACAAGATCATATACTAGTCAATATACACAGAAGTAAAATTGACAGTGATTGTTCAGTAAACAGTTTAAAATAATTAAACTGGTTTTCAGGACACATACTGATTTGTTAACACCACTTCAGTTAAATAAATTATGGCTTCCAGGAGGTGCATTCTCACAACTGCTTTCAATCAATTCCACTTGTTAAGGCAGTTATTTCCTACCATGTTTCAGGGACTTCAAAAATTTCAGTGGAATTACTTGTGAGGCTTCCTAAAAAGACAGAATCAGAAAGCTGTATATTAATGACTTCAGTATACAAATACTGAAAGGAAAGAAGTAAAGTCAAGACTATTTTGGTTCTTTCAAAGCATACAAAATCCTATTTTTCTCCTCCAGATACATTATTTACAGTATTCACAAAGAGAACCCAACAAGCTGTTTAAAAGACATCCCCATCCTCTCTTCTGTTCTACAGGCTGCAATAACTCACAAAACAGTGAAAATATCAGGTGAAACGTGATCACCTGTCACCTGTCTGTATTCAGCCAAACACACAATTCCAAATATTCTGGCTAGAAAAACATGTTGCTGTTGAAGTCAGCAGAAAGAAATCCTTAAATCAGCCCCATGTGAAAAGTCTTCCAAATAAAAGCAAGACAATGTTAAATATGGAACAGAACACTGCATATTCTAATTTATACATCCCAACAGTTTTTAGAAGATAGGAAAAGATCTATAATTTATATTAGAAACACTACTGATTTTCAAGCACTGCATATTGAGTTCTTAAAAAAAAAAAAAAAAGAAGAAAAAAGAGAAGATCTATAAAACACCTCAGAGAGAATAAAGACTGCACATTTTGACAGTTCTACAGGTCAACTGCCTACTGTTTCTTCTGCTTTTCAAAATCGCAGTCTCCTGAAAATGAGTTTCTACGAGCTGCAACAGCTAGCAGTTCATGAAATGTGAATGATCTGCTCATGGACCAGTAAATCTTTCAAACAAACATGGGCTTACTCTAAGCATGTGGTGAACTGCAAGAATCGTTACAGATGACTGTGAGTTACTCATCCAAAATGCTAGGAAGGGAGATTAAGCACACTCACTTTTCCTCAGGAAATAAAAGCACAGCTATGTGATTCATAAAAGCTAAGTACAGCAAAATCTGAAAGGCCTGCCTAAGATTAAGATCCCAGTGGATGGGCACCAATCTGGCAGCTCACTCCTCTACGGAATTGTCTCAGCCAGTACTTTATCAGATGTTCCAGAGAAGGAAGGATATCAGCGTTGTACCAAACTGTGTGCAGGAGGGGTGGTGTGGGGCAGGCAAGCTGGCTGTGAAAGTTTTGGCTTAGTCTTAATGATAGATAACATTTGGACCAGATTGAAAAAAGCACTGGTTCCTGAACTTACAGAACTATCTCCCAAATAACAGTGAATAAGGGATGCCAGTGCAATGTCGTCAAGATAGTCTGTGTTAACATTTGGAAGTGTTAATTACAAGGACACATATATTAGCCTTCAGGGCAGTGGGTAGATTTATTAAAACTGGGCTCCTTTGCATACAGTAGAGTTTGTTTAATGATACACATCTTGCAGACCAAGCTGCATGCAGTCATTCATTCTGAGACTCCTTCTAATCAAGCTTAAGTGAAAAGGTCGACATGAGGGGAGTCTTACAACTGCTGATGGCTTGTTGGACTAACGAGGAGATCCACTATAGAATCCTGCTTCCAGAATTCTTTTACTTTTGTTTATGGTATTTGAAGTTCCTGCATAACCTAAAAAGTCTCATTGAAGAAAAAAGAAGTTTAAAATAGCTAAAAATATTTTACTATATAGAAGAAAGTAAGACAATAAGAAATCAAATACATCCTGCTTCATTTAGTTTGATGCAATTTTTTTTCAGTTTAAATAACATACAACAAAATAAGTTGTAACAGTGCTTAAAGCGTGACATTCATAAGTCCAGAAAAATTGAGACATAAAAAACAAACAAGCAAAAAACAAACAAAAAACCCTCAACAACAAACTTCAGTTCTGATCAGGCCTAGGGCAGTTTCAAACAACAGAAAATTATGATCAAGAACATTGCTTTTACCTGCTGAAACTTGTTCTCTCTTGATTTTTTTGAACCTTTTGGTTCTCTTCTTAACATCTGGAGGTGACTCTGCATAGCAGTTGGTCTCATCTTCTGGAACCCCTTCCTCTTCCAAATTGTCAGAACCAGTTTCTTCCTGAATAGGACTCATACTTCTCTTTCCCGCTACGCTGGTACCTGTAAAACTGAAACGTGGAGAAGATACTGTTATCAACAAGTTAAGAATAACAACTAGATGGGTACTAGTTACTATGTATCTATTAAATGCTTAGGAAAATAATAATATAAACTGTATAAAGTGCTGAGCCATAACATTACATTATCTGGAAGATGCGACTCAGCTGTAAGAGTCCATAACAGTCATCGACTAGGATGGTTGTGCAAATGAAGGTTTTTATGGTTTGTCATGTAGGTGTCCCAGGCTTAGCTGCTATTCTGCTGAAATCACTCAGCTCAAGTGTAATTAAAGCTGCTCATCTTCATATTGAAAGCTTCCACATGCTAAGTTCATCTCCTCTGTCAAAACTACACGCAGTTTTACAGTATTTCTACTACAGAGAAAACATCATGAACACGCACTTAGAGCTCTGATTCATTCAGGAAACACTGAAGTTATGCTACAGAGATTTTCATTCAACTAGAATGCAATTATTAATAATGAAACAAGATGATTATTCTTTCATTCAATATTAAATTCTTTTATCTCTAAGTTACAGAACAAAACTTTTAAACAAAAACTTTTAAACACAGTTTTAAAGAAAACTTTGTACTTTTTTCTTTTAGTCACTAATACAAAGAAGCACAGGGTATCAATAAGGTTCAGGTAAGGGAAGTAAGATCTAGCTATACAGTTTTGGCTTTGAAGTGAAGGCCCTTTTTCATCTGAACGTTTTAGAACAGACTCTTTCTGAGATGTCCGAAAGCAGTTAAAAACCATGAAGCATGATTATGCTTCATGCTCTTACTTCCATGTTAGGAACACAAACACCATTTCCTCTATGAATACCTGGCTCTTCCTCCAAACATTCACACACAGAAGGCCTTCTTGAACAACCTCTTATAAATCTCATTTTTAAGTCACCACAACACAGCTACCATCAGCAGAATGACAAAAGCCAAAGTGCTGTTTGGAAAGGGAAGGGGGTGGGACAGGAGCAAAGAGCTCTCGTGAAAACAAAATTTTTAATTCAGAAAATTAAAAATTACAAGGGCTTGCTCCAAAAGTAATGCTTCCTATTTTGTGATGTCAGCCCTGATGTCAGAGGCAGCTGTTGGTGGGATGGCAGCAGAGGCTGAACCTGCCCACCAACATTCCGTGACAGGTTGTTGCTGTGTGACAGATGGCAGCAGAGGGGCACTGGGACAGAATGGCGCCTGACATGGAAGTGTGGGGGGAGCGAAGGGTGGAGCTGAATTCCTCCATGTGGAAAAAAGGCCCCCCAGTGACACTTATCAGTGCTTGTGAACACTTATGGAGACTGAACAGTGGTGTCAGTGCAGTAAGAAGGGGTGCTGCATTTCAGCTGTGGTGACAGTGACAGCAGTCACCTCAACTGGTGCAGATTTTCTGGGGGGGGGGCACAGAACATTGAAAAAAATCAGGTGAGCATTTTCTCTATCAAATAGCAAGAGTGTGAGCTTTGTGTCTGCTGTCGCTTCCATGGACATAAAAGGAGGCATTACTTCTGGAGCAACCTACTTGCTATTATATTAAAAAAAATTGAAAAGTTTAAGAACTCTACCTTTGGGAAAGGTATTCTGAAAAATACATAGGGAAGAAAAATCATGACCCATAAATTACAATTCCAGGACTTAGAGATACTCCAAGGGCTCTTAGAAAGAAACTTACTGTAAGGAATAAGTTCAAAACAAAAACTAATTTCAGGCTTCACATTTTTCCTGCAGACAAAAATAGAAAACAAAACCAAAAAAAAAGAAAGCAGACCAGAAAACAGACAGCACGAGGATCAAAATATAGGCAATCAAGTACTGTTGACTTCCTGCTTTCTCCTAAATTATTAGGATTTTTTCTACATTTACTCATTCACTGCATGGACTCCACATGACTACAGATTGTGGATTTGGTTGATGTTTTTTTTTCCCCGTGTGTCCTATTCTTCTTTGACCTAAAATAAGGTTCGAGAAGTACAGCAATGTTATTTATTCACTTAGCAATAGCAGCAAATGAGTATGGCTGTGTATACGAGTCAGAGCACTAGTCAGAGCAAAGTTCAGTTTTCTAATTTTACCAGCTATTTTGGAGCACGTCCACCCGTCTGTCTCAATTTCCTTACTCTGCTGAGAAACAACTGAACAAAGTGGAAAAAAACAAACTACAAGCTATCAGTAATTTTCCAATTCAGAATCCTCATCTTTCTGGATACCTAAAGCATCTAGAGACAGCCTTAGACCAGCCTTCAGAACACACATTTAACAGCAACAATACGATTACAAAAGAAAAAAAAAAACGATATTTGAGCAGAGTCCAAACCATTTTTGGGCAGCAAAATAAAGTTTTATTCTTAGTTTTAAAGTAAAATTACTAGCCAAGTTTAGGGAAAAAAAAGTAAGGAAAGCCTATCACATATCACCAGTTGGCAAATCTCCTTAGTTAGCACAATGCAGTTTTTCTGTTGGTCACTGAAGATAGCAGGTGTGGGTGTGCATGTCTTCAGCACAGGCAGAGTCCAGCAGCCCTCCCTCCCCAACCTCTCCTTTCTGCTGACCTATCTAAATGCCAGCTAGGATGAATGCCATGGGAAGAAGATGGTAAAAGGGGAATCTGGAAGAATTAATGAACCTTCAATACTGTTCTTCTAAGTTTGCCAATGTAAGGCAGAGGCTTTTCTTGTAAGAAACAACCAACAACTTCACTACTGAATGAATGTTGCCACCATGGAGAACAGCCATTCTGCAGCTGTGCTCCCTTCGCTGGCAGAAGCTGATGCAGTAAGCTTATTAAGTAATAAATAAATAAAGGGTGCAGTAACACGAAGCTATTATAAGAGATCAGCTGCTAGCTTCATCATAGGAACGAGCACTAAACTATATATGGTTCAGATTAATCTGGAAAAATATGCACATATACACACATATAATCATTTATAACACTGTATAAATATGTTTACATGTATCTTTAAAATATTTGTGTTTATGTATCTGTGGAAAGAAAAATGCATCTACAATTACCTTGAGTGAACTGAAAGACCACAAGGTTTGAAGTTACATGTTATACCTAAGCTGGTACAACTGCCAGATCACACTGGAAAGAGGAAGTATTTGCAAGAGACAAGTTGACAAAAGAACACCATCTATCGAGTAAAAAAGGAGACAAAACTAAGAACAAACGTGCCAAAAGATCTGCATGGAAGGGAATTTGGAAGAGAATCAAGTCACTTTATTTCTGGATTAGTGAGAACTAAAATTTGTAGAACATCAATCACAAAAGAAGTTCAGTCTACAAACAAATTGAAGACTGCTTTCCAGGGTTATCAAAATGTTGATCATCCAAAAATAACATAGCAAGGGTGCTTCTTGGGGAATCTTTCAATACAAGAAAAACAGCTTCAAAATTTTGAAGGACATGAAGTGTTCAGGCAGACAACTCATTGAGCTAAAAGAAAATTAAGGAAACAATTCACTGAAATTTATTCAACAGCTTTCCACGTTACACATTTGTCATCATCCCCTACTAACTTGAAAGACAAAAACAAACCTGTCTTGCAGTCTTACTGCCTTCCAAAGTATTTGTTAAAAGAATTATCTGTGGTTCAAACCATAAGCCACCAACACTCACTGTCTGTCTAAAAGCTGCGAGATGCCCAAAATACACATAACAGCATTCAATAAGGAGAGAGACTTGCTCCACTAGAAATAAAACTACGACTGGCTATCTTCATTTACCTTCCTGTTCCTGAAACACAAGGACGACTCCATCAGGACTGCCTAAGATGGTATTTTATACCCTTCACTGTGGCAATATCACCATGGAAAATCATCCAAAAAAACTGAAAATCATCTTTACAGTAGCATAAGAAGAGAGCTTTCAAAGCTCCCAAATGCCAGCAGCCATGTAGAGATGTGAAAAAAATGAAACAGGTAACTTTTTTGATTTTAAGAAACACTGCTGCTCCATCGAGCTCAGACGCTGCGAGTTGGCCTGCTCCCAGTATCACAGTATTTCAAGTTTGCCTCATCACCAAATCCCCTCTACTCCTTTATCCATCATCTTGTGACAGGTGCTGTACCACTAATGATTTATATGCAAATTAATAAAATATACATACAGAGAAAAACGCCAGATACGAACTATCTGAAAAGTGCAATGCCTTTGGTGAAAATATAACAAAAACAATGAGTCTGCACTACAGAAAGTCTCACCTGTTAACACAGTAGTATCGACTCTGGGAAACGTAAGGTGCACCTTGAGTTTTCAACCGTTTTCTCTCCATCTCCTTCCAACTATCTTCCGTACATTTTCTCTTTGCTCGCTTTTCTTCATGTTTTTTTTCAACATATTCTGCGTATGTCTGGATCCTGTAACTTTCAGCATATCTGCTGGTGTTTACAGCTATGGGAAAGGCAAGAGATATTATAAACAAAACACTTACATAACAACACGCCTTCTGAGATAGCTTAGTTTTAAGATTAGAAGGCAGCAAACTATTTGTTCCATTCATACAAATGTCTTCTATCTAGTTCCACTGGTAGTGGCAAAACAAATAGCTGTACTCTCCTAAATCCACACTGCATGGTTGAATTACATACTCAAAATACTTCTGAGTGAGACTTCACACAAGAAGGGTTAATTCTTTTAAATTAGAAATCATCAGTTCTTCAGTCATAGTCCTCTTCCAGACTGCTTGTTGGCAAGAAGAGATTTCCTGGATTTTTTCCCTTTTAGTCTCATTACTTAACCCAGCAGGTTTATTTTGCATGTCTGCCAGGAAAAGACGACATTTGCAAAGGCTCTGCCAAAACTCTGTTTGATTGCTGTGAAACATAAGCTTATTTGAGCTGCATTTTTTGTTGCCCAAGATACTGGTGGAAGCAGCTAATTAGAATCCAGCTGCTGCCTCCTATCTTTCTGATGTTCCATCTCCACTTAACTGAAAAAGTGCTGCCAGTTGGAGGTAGAAGAATTAGAATCACCTAGAAAGAAAAAACTGCCACTGCCTTCACTCAGCAACAATTCACCAGTGTTCCTTTGAGCCCCAGCATCTTTGCAGAGCTGCTTTTCATCTGTAAGCCAAGCTCTGGCATAAAGCCATTGCTGGAACAGATGAATCAGCAAATTAAACTGGCTGTCAACTGGTGTCTTCTACTGTTTTTAGCTTAAGTCACTGAAATAAACCGTCATAAATCAGCAAACCTATTTAAATATAAAACAAAAAAAACCCACATTCCTTTTCATGTATGCAGACAGAGCCTTTTAAAATACTGTAATAGTGAAGTGGAGATGAAATCTTTATTTTATTTGTGTACTTCCAACCACTCTGTAGAAATTTCAGATGTGTGTATCACCTTCTCATTCTTTATGAAGTGCTGTCATCTCAAATGCAGGGTATTCTGCACTACCTGTAATGCACATACAAGAGGTAGCATGCTTCCACATCACCGCTCAGAAATGCAGGTTGGTTTTTTTCCTCTTTCAGAGTAGGTCTCTACTCTGCATATTGACTATGCTACTATGAAAGCAATTACCTACAGTACAAGTCACGGCACGTAGGTGCTGCTGCTGCAAAGTCTTTCAAACTTATGTAAAACTTGGCATCAATATCTTGTATATCTACTCCCAAGAATAGGTATCTGCAACTAAGACTCACGGCCTGATGAGACTGTTGCACTACTTAAAGGCACATTAAACATACCTCCTCTCACACCCCTTACATTTGTCTGGACTGTAGAGGTCAGAGGATCTCTTCATAAGAATATATATATATACTGAGAATATGTACTGCCCATGAAGTGAGGGTGCAGGCATCGTGAATGAATTACTAATGCTCACTGGAGTTACTGCATACCAGCCAACATTCCTAAGGGTAACATTTGTTTAGTTAAACTCAAGCATGTTTTTACTTGCTAAAATCAAGCACGTAGTTACCATGGATCATCTGATAAACAGTGATTTGTTAAAACACAATAACAATTTCACATTATTTGTTTTGCTATACACTAGGAGCCAGAGTTACGGCTCTTCCATTTAATTTCCTAACAAACCCTGCTTGCATTTAAGAAAAAGATAATCCTTATTGAGCATCTTAAAGGCCATTTTTTAAAGCGTGTATGAGAATAAATATTTTTGGTCAGACAACTCTTCTTTCTTGAAACAAGACATTTTTTTTTAGCAGCATATTGCATTCCACAAACATATTCACTTTATATGTACGTATATACATATGAGTGGTTCTAAAGAGCTAAACCATACTGTGACCAGCATCGTATGCTCAACTGAGCACATAAAAGGTATATGCTAAAAATATTTCTCCACACAAAGCACAACTGAAATGAAGACGTGGGCAATTCTAAGGAACAACACAGACAGTTACATCCTGCATGGTCTTGAATTAAAAAGCAGCTCTCTGTAAGTTTTAAAAACTTTTTCTCTGATGCTCTGTCAATGCTACCAAACCAAATAGAACTACCTTAACTCTCCAGTGCCAACAGAAGAAAAGCACTGCTTGAAAGTCTTGTGAATTCTAACAAAATATATCAAACTAAAGGGAACAGAATTGTTTTTACTTATTTTTAAATCGTAAAATGAAGATAAATTTTCCTTTGAGAAGCCTGTTGGTAATGTTGGTAAGCAACACCACATGGCTGCATTTCACTGCATGGGTTGCAGCCGAAAAGTCTTGGTAGACAGACATTTTCTCAACTCTATTTACAAAAAAAGCTCTCTACACTTGATAGCAACACACACTAGCAAGATGGATACTTTGTTGAGCTGGATGTATTTAGCAAACCACTTGCTAACGCTTGCATTAAAATAAAACTTTATCCTGAAGTAGTTTTATTCACTTTCAGCAGAATTATCGCACGTAAGCCTACTTCTCACAATGTCAAGTAAATATATTCCAATTGTGGCTGAAGGAAGTAGAAAATAATGACTAATTCAGGCACAGATTGCCTGCTTTCTATTTTCCATCGCAGCTGTGCTGCTGCAAATCCTTCTGCCCATGCCAAGGTAAGTACTGCAGGCTTGCACCGCCTTCCCCAATAAAGTGACACTTCATTAGCGCGCTCCTCAAGATCCTTGTTCTCAAGGAAGGCCAAAGAGGAAAAAACCCCACTGCAAACTGTTATAAAAAATAAAACAGTCAAGAGTTAGCTAGAGCAAGGTACTGAGGTCTCAAGGAAGATCCTCCAGGATAATCCTGCACTGAGGCATCATGAAAGGAGAGTCTGGGTTTGCTCTGAGGTCAGGAGACTATTATTTATTTTAAAATAACTGATAAAAAACACTTCAGCACATAGAAGAGCCTATTTGTTCAAAAACTTATAATGTAGTGCAACTTTGGATCCCAGAATCACCTAGAAACATTCAAATGCCTTGAAGAAGTTAAGAATTTACTCAGTCGACACAATTCCAGAAATATAAAGCCCATTCACTCTCAGAGATCATCAAAATGATTTACTCAGTCTTTTATTCAGTGATAAGGAAAGAAGCCTCAATACAACTAACTTGGAGACTTAAGTCTCAAGTCTCCAAGTAGCAGATGCAGCACTCAGTACATGCGCTCCAAGAAGCTTCTGACTCTTCAACAACCTGCCTGATGTTTCCTCCCCAAGGGAATCCATCAGACTTCCGTGTATGGATCGCTCCTCCTCAGCTGCCCAGACTTTAAACAGGCTGGAAGCTATTGCATTAAAACATACCAAGTGTCAATATTTTGTTAGAGAAATTTTAAGACTCAAGTACAAAACACGCAAGGACAAATCATTGCGTCAGACACCATTTTTCTATTACAAAATAGAAACATTTTGTTATTTAACTCAGTACTTAATTCCACAAGCCACCAACACAGAAGTACTCATGGACAGTGAAGGTCTATTTCCCCGCCTCAGGTAATCCATCTACGAAAGACTGATGCACCTTTTTCCTTTTCTTCCCTTTTTCTGATAGCCTCATGCTGTTTTATTGCCATTCAGCACAACTAAGAACAGCATAAAGGTGAGACTCTTAGTTTCACAGTAGCTAGCATTATTCTTAAAAGTGCTGACAGAAGCCTGAAGCCCCATATTACTACTCTAATATTTTAAGGAAGTTTTACTCAAATGCACTTATTTACATGTAACACAGCACCTTTACAAGTCAGATATACTTGCAAAAAACACCTTCTATCTTCCTTTCTTTGCTGCATTGTAACCATTTATTTTTTTTTTAATTCAGAATAAAAAACACCCTGAACTTGTCTCACATTCCTGCAGGTACCACTGGGTGGATCTTGCACTAAGCTTACATCATAACTTTCTTTATAAGTAGAAAATTGAGGTGAAATGCCATTTTAATGCAGGATAGTTGGATTCAAGCATCTCCATGCAAATGTGCAGGCCAGCAAAGCATCAAGCCAGCATCATCACCTCATCTGCCCTGCTGCACGTGCTGGCTAAGTAATTCAGCATTCCAGTTACCAGGAGAAAAAAAAACCCTCAACAAAGACCACAGAAATGATGGTACAGTCCACTGAGACTGTCCACACCACAATCTTGTAAGCAGATTGTTATTAAGGATTTTAACTTTCTTAAGTTGCAGTTTAAATACTGAAAGAATTCAAACTATTTAACCTTTGCACCCTGTTTAAATTCCTCAGTAACTAAAACAAAATCTATGACATATTTCAAATAATCCCAAACAAATGAAAAGGCAGTGATGAGAATATTGTTGCAGATAACTGACAGCAAATCTGTCCTCCTAAATCTGCATCACTAATGCTGAAAGCTGTGAAACAGCTGTGCTGTGAATTATGCCACCAGCTCTGCTTTGAGACCAAGACTGGAACGTATCAACCAGCAATTCTGCTTCTTGTTACAGACGAGATTGCCCAGCTGTACAAAGTTCACCACACCTCATTCCCAGTGCTGACGAGCACAGAACGGCTGGTAGAACTAGCGTGCTCAGATTTGTTAACATACAAAAAGAGTAAAACGCACAGAACACTTCCTTTCTAGTAAAAGAGGTAAAAGGTCTGCGAGTATACCAGTAGACATTGAGAACAGACTGCTCATGTATGAGAGACTTCTTGGAAAGAAACAGAAAGCACTGCCATTAGATTTCATCTAACAGCTTGTTACCAAATGGGAGAATCCCATTCCTCACTCTTTAGCAAGTCACATGCTCTCACGCCCTCCTTTATGGTGTTTCTGATGATTTCTGAGCAGTTGCTGAGCTGGTTAACCCCACCGAGCCTGCAGCAACTTTTTTCTGGACACAGAATCAGACACAGGAAAGCAGTGAGAGCTCACCGTTAGAGCAGGAAAAGAATCACATAATCAGAGGGGTTGGAAGGACCTGAAGAGATCATTGAGTGCAACCCC